CACCCTCGATAATTTAGTCATTGAATTTTTTTTTTTATAGATATAGAAATATAGAATAGATATTGATATAGGTATGAATTCGGTTGTACTACTAGAAGAGACCCACCCACCTATCTGTGGGCTTGGAAAAGAGCCCAGCCCACCATTCCTCCCAAAAAAACACTCAGCCCAACCATTAGGGTTTTAATTTCCTCAAGTATAAATTGACCTAGGGTTTTGCGATGCAACGATTGTCGATTGTTGGCCTCCACTCCACACCATCTGTTTTGTGTAGAGGAAAAAAAAAAACACAGAGAAAATGAAGGCCATTTTGTCGTCTGATAGCATGGACATCCCCGACGGCGTGAAGATCAAGGTGAACGCCAAGGTGATCGATGTTGAGGGCCCGAGGGGTAAGCTCTCTCGCAACTTCAAGCATTTGAACCTCGATTTCCAGCTGATAAAGGACGAAGCCACCGGAAAGCAGAAGTTGAAGGTCGACGCCTGGTTCAGTAGCCGGAAAACCACCGCCGCCATCCGCACAGCCCTCAGCCACGTCACCAATCTCATCAACGGTGTTACAAAGGGATACCGTTACAAGATGCGTTTTGTCTATGCCCACTTTCCGATCAATGCGTCCATCACCAACAACGGCACCGCCATTGAGATCCGTAACTTCCTTGGCGAGAAGAAGGTATTCGAGAATTCTAGTTTGTTGTTTATCTTTGTGCATTTCGTACTGGGATGAAAGTTATTGTTCATAAATTTTTTATCTTGTGAATTATTTATTAATTATTTGGTGTTGAATGTCGACTTAACTGGATTTCATGTTTTGAACTGGAAAGTGATTTGCTACACGATACAACCGTGTAGATTGAGAAATTAGTCGGTGTTCTTTTTTAAGTTGGTTAAACAGAAAAAATGGCAGGGATTGAGAGGATGGATTTTTTTTTTTAGCCGTTCTGCAATGGGAGAAACAGAGGAAGAAGGATTTTAAACGGGGGTTTTTGGATGGGTTTAAGTTGAACGCGCTGCGTGCGTGGGGAGGGCAGAGCCGGGTCGGGTCGGGCATAGACCTTTTTCCTAATAAAAGTTGACCCTTTTAATTAAATGATGAAAACCTACAAAATGTTGTTATCTCTTCTCAACGGCGCCGGACGGACGACGTCGCGAGACGTAGATACACAAGCACGCATATGTGCGCGTGCCCGAGGAAGCTCCATAGTGGGTAATGGCGGAAAAGCCCCTGCCCACCCGTTGGTGTAAAAATGGACAAAAGCATGCTTAGGGATTTGGACGCTCTCCCGGAAGAAGATAAGCAGCGAATGTCGGCCATGATTGACCAGCTCCAAATCCGTGACAGGTATGTCTTGTTTGTGCCCTGCTTGACTGTTTTCCCTTGAAGCAATTTTCAAGACGAAGATTTGGACATTGATTCTTCGAGGGTTTTGTAGTTTTTATGGTAAAAATTGTTTTGGTGAATATCGAAAGCTCGTCTTTTCCCAATTATTTACGGTGTATTTGGATTTATTAATTTAGTGATTATTGGCTTATACGTCAAGGTTTGTGATTTTGTTTGGGTGATTTTTGCCATTGCGAAATGCCGAAGATGCAGTCTTTTTCTCAACTATTTACTGTTGTACTTGGATTTATCAATTTATTGGTGCCTCTGAGTAGCGTGCGAATTTGTACTGATATGTTATAAAACTCAAATTTAGGAGAACGTAGTATCTGAAGGATTTTTGTAGACGATTTAGTGCTTAGTAAGAGGCGAATGAGCCTCTTGAAAAACTAGATTTTTTTACGAGTCATCATACTTCGGGTTTTTCATTTAGGATGATAGATGGGGTGAACTTGAATATTTCTATTGATTTAAAATGAAGTGGGTGTTGAGGAACTTGAGGTTTATCTGGTGGTGTGCTTCGTGCAGGGTCGATTGACAGCAATTTGATTTGATTTTTGGTAGATAAGGAGTTGAAAAAATTTGGATTTCCAGCCTTGTTTTGTCTTATTATTTTTCCGTTTAGCGGCTCTCTTTTTTGACAAGGTTGTTTATTAGAAGGATTGACGAACATTAGTGCAATCGTATATGATGGAAATGTCACATTATGATCACAGGCAGTGACTGGAGCAACTATTTTTTTTTGTTTTGTTCTTATCGTATGGCGTTAGTGAATTTCAAAGATTCATTTTTTTCTCATTTTTCTGCTTAATTTGATTCAATTGTTTTCCCATGTGGAAGTGTTTGGTCGACGGACAGCAATTTGAGTTGATTTTTGCTAGCTGATGGATAGGAAATATTTGGAGTTTCCTTTTTTGACAATATTTCTTTATTAGAAGGATTTATGAACATCTATACAATCGTGTATATGCTGGAAATTTGACATTAGGTTCCCAGGCAGTGATTGGAGCTCCAAGTCTAACTGTATGTAGACAGGGTATTAGTTATATATGTTGCAACCGTTTTTTGGGTTGGGAATTTGAGTTTGACTGAGGATCATCTTCACTACATACATATACGTGCTGAAGGCTTATCATAATTCTAACTAGTGTCGGATGCTAGATTTTGATATGTTGATATATTTTCTGCGAATAAATTGGCCTATTAAGAGTAGAGAGTTATTAGCATGAGTGTGGGTATATAGCAAATGCCATTAACTAGTTGTGAAGTTTTGTCTGTCCATTGGTCTAACTAAATGAGTTGTGGTGCCTCATTTGTTAAGGTTATTGATGTCTCTTTGAGTTTCTATTTTTCTCATTAAATATTTTGCCATCCTAAATGGGCTTATGTTATTTTGTATGTACTCCATCGTTAAGGTTCGGTGTAGGTTTTATCATGCGACTCGGTAAAATGCCATCCTTGGTGATGCTATGTAAAATACGTGGACTATTTTATCTTATGGTTCTTAACGTGCCGTTAAATTTAAATTGCAAAGCTTTGTGGTGAAACTTTGGGTAGACTTTGAAAATATTTTACTTAGTTTTGCATCCTTTTCAGGCAAACTTCCCGGGAGTAAGTTTTACGAGTTATTCTATGAAATTCTTCCTATACTAACTTGTTACATTAAAAACATGTTTTAACTTTCAATATCACCTCATCGTTCATTATTATTAAAATGTACTAATTTAGTCGAGCCATTACTGATGAGAAACAGATGAGAAACACACGAGCCATTACATATGCATGTAATCAGCAATGCTGTTCTCTTCATTTGTCTGTGTGTTGGGAGTAATGATTTACTTTCAAATTGTTGTGGGATTGCAGAACAATGGTGAATAATGGTGTTGTCCCTGCTTCAGCTTCCATGGGTGTCAGCCAACATGTCTCGTCCCGTCAAGTTCGTTTGCAATTAAGATTACCATTATTATTATGATTGTGTTATCATCGTGTGCTTGTTCTTTTTTTATCCAAATGGCAGTACTTATTATTGTTTATGTTTCTGTAGATCATTTAGAGCTCTCAAGAATACAACTTCTGTTCAGTCTTTGTTGAATTTAACCCAGTGTGTGTTATATTAAGAACATAGTTTTTCTAGTAAAAAGGCATATGCATCTCATTTTGAATCGCCCAAGTAATAAGCA